GAAACGGTAAAGCAGACTGATTTACCGTTTCTCACGGTGTTGTCGCTTGCAGATTTCTTATACTTTTTCTTCTACCCTGAAGATGGGGGCGATACGTTCCTCCGAAACGTCGGTTAACACCACATATACACGGTGCCAAATCCCAGAAGACTGCTTTCTTCACCCTAACACAAAGTTCCGCTACTGGATACTATCTTGAACCAGTTCCATCCGCCATGCTCTCCTTTAACTTCTATTTCTTCCAAAAGCCCGTTATCCAAATCGTTACCTCGTCAAAACTGTGTACGTTCTTCTTGCTTCCTCCAACGGAATCCTGAATTTTTCACTTATTCAGTATAAAACGAACAAGTATTAATAAATAAAAGCCTATAGCTTGCAGTGTGTAGCGACTGCCTACGGGCTGGACGACCGAGGCGTTGGAGTTCGAGTCCCAGTACAGTCAGAATTTTCTACATATCGTCCAGACCGGCTCTGGGGCCCACCCAGCCTCCTATCCAATGTGTACAGGGGGCACTTTCATCGGAGGTAAAGCGGCAGGGGCGTGAAGCTGACCACTAACCTCCGGCTAGTGCCGAGGTAAAGAAAGTGTGAATCTATACATCCACTCCCCGAGACGCCTTCACGGCGTAGTGCTTAATTAGTTAAGCACAGAGACAACTTTACCTTTACCTCACGGCTTACAGTTCTATACTACCTTCATTCTGTACTTATGCAGAGAACGTGTTGTTAGCAGTAGTTCCGGATTTTCCCGCCAGGCAACAGTGAGAATGTCACAGTTGCAACCTCTGTGCCTACAGCACAAGACTTCCATTGCTGACAGTGTGCATATTTAGTGAAACCGTGATTAGTGCCTACAGAAGTGTTGGTGACCGTTCATGCAGATGGGAACTGTTTGTGATAATCTCGAAACGAGGGCATTAGGGAAGTGTACAGAAGTCTGTCAGTGTTTATTTTGTATTTGGCGCTGCACCACGCTGCCCCGGATTCTTACTGAACTGAGCAGAACATGCAACAAACAATACAATGAGGAGGAGTTAACTTCTGAACATGACGCCGAATAATTTAGCGTACCGACATTTCGGATGAACATAATTACTCCATGTCCAGGGTCGATGAGTAGGGATAGAAAGCAACCAG